TATCAAGAACAACTTAAACTCAAGGGCTACTTTTTCAAGCATCGGTGGTGGTGGTGGTGTGTGTGTGTGTGTGTACTCATGGGTACACATTGACACACTTGTGGACTGCTCTAATATTATAAAAGTAATGAAAGAAACTATATAACAATATCCAACATGAAATGAGCCAGGGTGTGCATAAAACTTACTTGGCAGGAATAAGAACAGAATATGAATGAAAAATTCATAGATACAAGGCACATGCACAATACATGTATGTCAATATATAGTTTGACTTCATTTCAGGACAAGCATCTAGTTGCCGTTTTCCTCTCTTTCTACTCACAGGACTCTTAATACTCATGTTCATTCTGACATGCTAGGAAAGGCAGAGACAGGGAAAGTTTGGTTCTTCCTGTAGAGATTCCAGGAGCCATGGTTGTTCTGCTCCCAGACATCTCTGAAAGAGAGAGACCCCCCCTCTCCCAGGAGCTAAAGGAATCTGAGCCAGACATGGTTGCTCCGTCTTTTTAACACCTGGAAAGTTACTGAGATGGGTCCCTAAGATAGAAAAGAAATCATTAAAAGATTTTTCTAGCAAGTTCTTCCTAAACATCAAGCTGCTTCAAAACACAGGTGTGTATGTAACTATCTTTGTAATGTTACTATGGTACACATAAGAGGAAGAAAATGTTCCTACCATCATAAAGGATATGGACAGAATTCAATTTCCCACAATAATGCTAATTCCCAACATCAATTGATATAATAATATTCCCAGGGGCATGGAGCTTGATAGAAAGCATTTGAAAATGATGGCAGCAAAAGAAGAATGGCATTGATACCACACATATTTACCTCCCAACAACAAAAATCACAATTTAGCTTCTCCGTTGTATGACAGCTGGCTAAGCCTGGGCCGCACCATAAATTACACAACATGTCAGTAGTTTGGGAAAGCATGAGTGATTTGGAGAAAGGAACCTTCAAAACTATTTCTGAAAGATTTTCACTGTTTCACAGTAAGCAGAAAAGTTGTAGAGGCAGGAATGGCCCGCCAGAGTCATGGCTGTTCCCCTGCGCTGGGGAGTTGTCACCAAGAAGTTGTAAGTGGGTCTATTCTGATTACTCCTACAGGGTGTGGGTAGCCATGATGTGTGCTGCAGAGGCCTGGCCACATGGGAACTTTGCTTGTGGTCCTCCATGCTCAGGAGTGAAGGAATTATAGAGGCAGGAGATGGAGAAACCACAGCAGAGACTGACTGATCATGGGTTATTTTGGCACAATATGGAGTGCCAAACATGTCTGAAACTGATCTTTGTGGGGAAAAAGCATTGTGCTCCATCACTAAAAGTTGGTGTTTCCACGGTCTCTACAGTTATCTTGTACCTAATTAACATGGCTGGCTATGGGGAGCCATGTAGCCTTTCCCTCCCCTTGCTAGAGTCAAGGTGTTCTTTCAACCACAGAGTAGATGAATGTTTCTGTCTATCTGGTCCCACAGCAGTTTAGTCCCAAATAAACACACAGAGGCTTATATTGATTAACACTGTTTGGCTGATGGCTCAGGCTTCTTATTGGCTAGCTCTTTCTTAATCATTAACCCATTCCTACTAATCTATGTATCTCCGCAGGGTGTTGGCTTACCAGAGAATGCCGTGACATCCTACCTTCTCGGTCCCATTCCTACTAATCTATGTATCTCCGCAGGGTGTTGGCTTACCAGAGAATGCCCTGACATCCTACCTTCCCGGTAACTACATGGCATCTCACTGACTTCGCTTCCTACCTTTCTCTATCCCTGTTTGAATTTCCCACCTTGTTAAATCCTGCCAGTCCATTGGCCGAAACAGCTTTATTCATCAACTAATAAGAGAAACATGTATGCACAGCATGCATAAGGACACGCTCCATCACCACAGGGATTAATGATAAGGTTCTTTAGAAAAACATCTTCACTTCTTTGCTCTCCATGCTTTTTCTTCATGTCTCCTTTGCATTGCCTGTTAACCCATCAGAGATGGGTTCTGATATTCCTTCAGAGGTGAGTACTGAGAGGGACTGAGCTGAGCCACCAAGGTGTTCTTTCCGCCCCATGGTATCCTCGATCCTGTGATGTTTTCTTTCTTCATCCCCAGGGCTACTGGGATCATACTCCCAGGCTTGCCGGTGTTTAGTGATGGTTAGGGAGAGGTGGCTCTGCACAAATTGCTCTAGGATCTTTCGGGAAAGGACAGCACCAGGGGCTTTCTGCATAAAAGGATCTTAGAATATGTAGGAAAACCAGCCATTGGCTAATACCAGAGTCAGTCACATCCCTGGAGCTTCAGTTCTGTGGAAAAGGTCCATACCCAATGCCAATGGTTCTGTCTATGACAGTTTGCTGAGTAACTATATGGGAAAACTAGCAAGGGTTATTCCTGACAGTCATGATTATGATTCAAGATAACTGCTATCATGTCAAGCTGAGCTTGTACAGTTACGGATCTGTTGAAGGACTTGACATGAGGAGTGAAGGGTCCTTGTTCTTATGGCTGCTGTTTCAGGATGATAACATCACTGTGCTTACATTGCCCAAGTGGGTCGACTTCCAACTTTTACCTGTTGCACAACTTTGGAAAGAGAAGTTTCCTCTTCTGATATATGGGGGTTGCAATGGTACCTTCCTCATAATGTTTTATGAGGACAACATGAAATGAATGTAAAAATCCTTGGTAAATCACTATAACCATCAATGTATACCGATTAATATTATTAATAATTAGTCCTAACTAATAAAATGAAGATTGCATTATCTACTGAATTTAATAACTTTATAGTAATCTGGGATCACTGCATTCATGAAAAATGCCTCTAATGAGACTGAATAATCCAGAGATCTCTGACAAAGCATGAACTGATATAACCGATGTGTGCCATTCACTTACCTGCCTCTGAGCTCTTGTCCAGGTCAAACCAATGATATCTGTAGGTGTTCCAATTTACAGTTCAGCTCCTGCCCCATGCTAAAAAGAGATGGTCCTTTTACAGGGCCATGTCCATGCCATTTTCTCTGATACAACAAGGAGAAGACACTAATGTGGTTTAAGTGGACCAGGCCACCAGCCTAACCTTGCATTTTGAAGGACCCATTTTGGCCCCTGCTAAATACTATTGAAAATTCTGTGAGATGGGCAGTGTGGTTCTCTGTTCACTCTGTCTTTGGGTTGAATAATGCTGACCTCACTTTCTACCCAAACCTACAATGCCTTCACCACCTTCCAAGATTCTTTGATTCCATTAGGATTTCCTTCACAGATTCATGTGCATGTGTGCTTGTGTATAAATGTACATGCCTGCACAGGTGTGTGTAGGTTCACTTATGCGTGTGGGAGAATTTGTGTGGATGCCAAATGACAACCTCAGGACTATTCACCTTGTTAATTGAGACAGGTTCTCTTCTCTGGGGTTCATTAGGTAGGCTAGCCCAGGAAGCTGCCTGTCTTTGCCTTCCTGGTGCTGAGATTACAGGCATGCATCACCCTGTCTGAACTTTCATGTAGATGATGGGATCACACTCAGGTCTTCATGCTATTCAGCATACACATCACTGACTGAACTATCTCTTCAGAGCCCACAAACCCGTTCGTTCAAGAACTGGCTTGCACAACCCCTATCCTCACGGAGGGACTGGCTCTCCATTAACACTTCCTGGTAGTTTATTTGTGTAACTGCTTTTGTGTTTTCTCTTGTACTATCAGTGCCAGGGATGCTTCTTACTAAAACTCATGAGACTTCGGCTTTCATAGAAGTGGATAATTTTACACAGTTTGACCTAGAGTGGGTACTCCGTAAAGATCTGTTGGTGAGGGATTGAGCTTCTACACCAGCTAATGAATGTTAAATAATCCCAGCATTTTCACAAATGTGTCTGTCCACTTGGATACACGTGAATCTCTTTTCCATTGTTCAGTTACACTTTGTTAAACTTTTAAGTTTCATCTGTAGACTGCTGTTACAACAAAATAATATTTCATAATAACATTTTCAAATACTTCATCCTAACATTATTTTCAAAGTGTTGTCTAAAACAACCTCAGTACTAAAAGCAATAATCCAAAATGTTGTAAGGTTCAGTAACTTATTCAATTAGAATTAATCATAACATTACCTGAAAGCCAAATACATTTCTGTGTTCAGATCTCAATCAAATTCTTACAGAATCAGTTTTCAAAGAGCCGAACAAGCACAGAACAGTGGTGGTGGTGGGTGGACGGGCAGCTGACCATCCTTTCAAGTTGTCAGAGGCTGTCCCAAATCACGTATTCCCGATTGACTACTGTAACCAAAGAGGCAAGGTGTTGGGGCTTCAACATCTCAGGCACAGACGGACACATTGTGACCAACTCTGCGCTGAGATGGGACCCAAGGTGGGCAGAGCCAAGTGTCTCCCTCCCTTCTCTAATTATGAGCCCCAAGGAGCCTTGTGGACTGTGTGGTTGGAACACGTATAAGATCAGCTGTTTGGAGAGGCTGAGCAGATACCCACATCGACGAAGGAGCCAGAACAAAGGGAGGATGGAAACGGATGGAGGAGCAAGACACGGGGTTCCGAGAAAGCAGCTGCTCGGCCCCTGCAGTGTGCAGGCTGCTCCGCTGTTTCCAGACCTCGCCGTTCTTAAAGAGAAGCTGTAAATGTGGATCATTATGTAAAGCATCCTGGGTTGTGAAACACGCTGTAATGCAACACACACTCTATCCCTGGGCAACCAGGCAACATAAGAGAAATTATACAAAAAATTAAAGGGAGTCCTATAGTCAAAATACTCAAAGAAAAATCTAATTTTAAATACTTTTACTTATCATTCCTGAAAATACTGTGGTGCCTGTTGGAGCACATGTCCCAATTTTTAATTTAGAAAACACATCTTTGATACTTCTAATTTAATTGCCACTTTAGACTGCCTTAGATATTAATAGTAGTCCCCAAAGTCCTAGAATCAAAGAAAGAGGCGTTCATATTAAAGGGGGAGAAGCAGGCTGAGCTACACGGTGTTTATTTAAAGAACCAAGAGTTTTATGAACTACCCCAGTGTTTTCCAAATCTCAATCCATGTTCCCTTTGCTTTCTTCTCTTGCTGGCGTCTCTCAAAACGTTTTGGCTGGATTATTAGGAAATTGTACCTGAGTCATCGCAGAGATCTGGTCATGATGAGGGCACACGTTGGTTGTTAGAGAACTGCTGCTCTCCTCTGAGAGATCTCAATCAGCAGCAGGGGAGCTGGCACAAAGCTCCTCAGCCCATTACCTAACACACTGTGCGCTGACTTCCCCGAGCCTGCTCCACACACCTTTCCTCCCTGTGGGAGAACACAAAGTTCAGCCGCGCTGTCAGAGGCACAGGGAGCCCAGGAGAGCACAAGGTGGGCAACAGGCAGAAAGGTTAAGCCCGAGGACACCCTTATTCCATCTTGGCCTTTCACCCCAATAAGGGAGCCCGGGGCGCTCCAGGTCTGCCACCTTTACCTGAGGAATCGTATCTGATGAAGGAGAGCATTTGAACAGGGAATGCACAGATGCCCAGCTCCAGAGCTGCCGCACTCATGGGATAATCGCACCACTGCTTTTCCTGGTGTCAAATGCAAACATGTCCAATAGGCCAGTGGCGCAGGCGCAGGTGTCTTCAGATGCCCGCTATGAAACGTGGGAAACAGCCACAAAAAACTGACTCACCCAAGTCAGGTAATTACACTGACTGCAACGCATCCGGGAACCGAGCACTGGAAACCTTTCAGGGGGTCCTCTGAACATGCCCTGCCTTTTCCAGAATGAGACTAATTTGCTCCTATTTCAGCCAGCTCTAGCAAAGAAAGCGGCTGAAGGGGAGAAAGGAGAATGAATTGTCAGCGATATTGAGAAGATTCATGATTAGTCACACTCACTCGCAGGCAAGATCCTTGCCAGACACCACACCACTCATTAGCAGACCTGAGAACTGGCGAGCCTCCCACAGCTCAGGGTCTGGCAGGCCCCCAGGGACCCACAAAGCCCTGTTCTCCCACACCCTGCAAACAGAAAGGCCAGTTTGGGCAAGCCTGGGTACAATTGACTACCTGGATGCTAAATGAATTTGTTTTATGTTCTGTGTTGCTTAAAATATAATTACTCAGGTGTTCAGCTGGTGTGGAAATCTCTTTGTGTTAGAATGATACAGTTACCTGCCTGGAATGGCCATGTTTCCCTCCAGCTTCCCCACAGAGGACCCTAGAGCTGGCTAGCGTGCCTGTCTGGCCTCCTCCAGCCAGAGCTATTCCTCCTGGGGATGGAAGCATTTATATTTCTCGTCGAGCATCAGTAACTATAGCCTCAACTGTAGGGATCAGCACTGAAGAGCCCAGAGCATCAATGACCCAGGACACTGGATAGGCTGTGAGAAATCAAGAGCTTACTGAGAAGTGTAAGGCAAGGAAGAGAGCCCAGATCCCTCTGTTTGGTGTCATTCCAATGGTCAGCCCAGTTACATAAAGATGCCACTTCCAGTTGGGACAGAAAACCATGCCTGGTGTTGTTGAAACACTGTTCTAGAATTATAATTCCATTAAGTTCCGGTAAGACTGGGCAAAGGGATCTGGCTTCTGTTAGGATGGCCTGTACTCTTCAGAGAGGATCTCAAAGTAAAGGACACGAGGCTAAGATATGCAAATGAATACAACAAGGTGTCAACCGTGGTGAATCATGGCCGACATGGAGCCATGATAGTTTTATTGGTAAGAGAAGCACAGTCAACTGCACACTTAGTTCTGGCATCACTCATGTAAAACGGCACTACAACATTAGATGCCAAACTCATATTACATGGCAAATATTTGTGCATGCTTGTTTTGATTTATGGTACCTGAAAAAAGAAAAAAAAAACACCCTGGCCGTAAAAGATGCTCAAGTGTGAGAATTGCAGACAGTGACCAAAGCACTCATGCTACGCTCTTTTAGACTGAAGACGCTTCACTCTGGCTTCGTATGAGTGTATCATGATGACGGGGGCAAATGTGGTAAGGCCTTGGAAACGTTCTGCTGGATTTGTAGAGGTTTTAAAACTCCGCAAAACTACTGAGCACTCCATCTAAAAACAGTGAGTGGAAAACTGACATAAATGCAAAAGGCCCATGTCAGTGGACATTCAACTTAAGCCAAGCATAACAGTTGGACGGCAGGAGAGTCCCGGCACCACTCTGCCTCTCAAAGAAGGAGAAGCAGGCCTGAGTGAATGTGGGCTCGTTATACAAGGTGGTTTGAGGTACAAACTCTCCTCGCTGGCTTCAGCTGTCAACACAAGATAGAGATGTTTGAGGGAGTCTCAGTCAGGGGACTGCCTTGATCAGATTGTTCTGTCATCATGTCTTCGAGGCTAGTTATTGCTAGTTGGTGTAGGAGGACCCAGCCCACTGTGGGCGGTGTCATCCCCTAACAGGTGGACCTCGGCTGTACAAGAGATGTAGCTGAACATGAGCCTTAGAACAAGCGAGGGCACTGTTCTGCAGGCTTTCTTCTTCAGCTTCTTCTTGAGCTCCTGCCCTGAGTTCCCTCAGTAATGGATTATGACCTAGAAGTACGAGATGAAATAAACCCTTTCTTCCCCAACTTGCTTTTGGTTATGGTGTTTATCATAACAACAGAAAGCCAACTAGGACACCCTCCCATTGTCTGAGTCCTCCAACTTCCCCCATTGTCTACGTTCCAGAGTGAAGGGACAAAGCTTAATAAAGTCATAGTTCATTTGACCTCCAAAGGGATTTGACTTGCTGGAGTTCTCTAGAATCTCTGGCCCCAAGGAGGCCGGGTGACTATTTATGACCACAATGCTCAGCTTCAGCCTTGTTCTTGTATGTATTATAAACACACACCAACCCACTTCTGAAAATGTCTCAGATGCATACATACAGGTATACTAAGAAAATGTTCCTTGGCTTCCATATTTTCATTACTCAGTCATGGGCTCTATGTGCAGATTTATATGTGCATTGAAAGTATCTGGGGAGCCAGGCAGTGGTGGCACACGCCTTTAATCCCAGCACTCGGGAGGCAGAGGCAGACGGATCTCTGTGAGTTCGAGGCTGGGCTGGACTGACAGCCTCCAAAACAATACAGAGAAACCCTGTCTCGTAAAACCAAAAAACAAACAAACAAACAAACAAAAAACAAAAACAAAACAAAACAACAACAACAAAAAAAAAAAACCAGAAAGTATCTGGGGAAAATGCATCTGTATTGAGCAAATATAGACTTTTTCCCCTCTCTTTGTTCACCAAACAATATACACAATAGGTAATAGTCCTATAGTATTTACATTATATTATGCACTATAAGAAATACAGACATTATTTAAAATACAGGGAGTATATAGGTTATATGCAAATTCTGTGCCATTTTATATAAGGGACTTGATATCTAAAATTTGATGTTTGATCCTGGAACAAATCTCCCATGACACCAGTGGACCGCTTGGCTTTCAGAAGAAAATGATATTTTTCATACTTTTCCCACGTACCATTTCAAGTGCTGTAAGTGTACCAGCAACACTGGCACACCCCTATGAGGAAGTGGTTTTCTCACTTCACAGACATGTGGAGAGTACCGTCATCACACCATTAGGATATGGCAGAGCAGGGACACGAGCTTACAGACTCAGGTTTCACCCCTGTGTGAGTTAAGAAATGAAGACATGATTTCCTGTGGACACGGGCTCCTGTGCACCCAGTGGGCTTCTGGGAGTCTGGGAGGATGACTCTCCAGTGACAGGAGGACAGGCTCATAAAAGGGCAGAGTTTGGGAGGTAAGGCCATGGGAAGTAGGGCTTTGTGAACTAGGTTTCCAGTGACAGTGACTAGGTGTGCCACGCAGCCTCTCTAGTCTCATTTTTACTGTCTTTATGAGACACTGGAGTCCATGCCTCACAGGATTCTGGAGGCACCTACTCTCAAAAAATACAACTGAGCGGCGGCTGGCCAATAGGAATGCTGAATGTCTGGTGGAATGAGGTCACTAGTAGTTAGGGGGCTATAGATTTAAAAGGAAGATGTAACATTATCTCATTTGTCACAGAACCATGAAAACCACAGGAAGAATTTCTGCTTAAAATTTTCTTGGAAATAGTTGCTTTTTCTCTGTTGGCTTCAGTTGTCATCTTTGCTTGGTCTTTTTCTCCCTGGTTTTTGGTAAACAGTGTTTATCAAGTGACCGTGGAACCTGGTTATAACACACTTCAGCTCTGAATCCCCCGGCTGCTGTCCCTATATTTTCTGCAATATTCAGTGGAGAAGGTGCCAGCGGGAGAGTGGGCAGAGCTTCTGTTTCTGCATGTTGAACAGCTCAGCCCTGCCTTGTCCTTTCCAATCATTGTCGTTTGCACCGATACTACCCCTCACAGCCTGGACACGTGTTGACAGGTCTCTGGCTGTGAGCCCACTTTCTTCATAGAGGTCTAGTCCCTGTAATAACTGTATTTTCTCTTGTGGTGAAAAGTAATTAGGATAAACCGGGTAGCATTTGACTCTGGTTATACAAATGGCCTGATCTAGTTTGGGCCTCTGTGAACTCTAGGCAGGAATGAACAGAGCAGTGAGATGTCCCTTGGCTGTCCTGTGACTATTTCAGCATACTCAGGAGACATCGTGTGGAACTTTCTAGAGGGGGCGGGGTTCATAGGCTTAGGAGGGAAGGAAAGCATCTAGGTATTTTGGGGACTCAAAGGAGCTGGTAGGAAGCCAAGCTTGAACAAATCATAACCAAATGTATCACCATGCAATGATTTTGATAGGAATGGATGAAAGCACAGGCATCCAGTGACACCTGCAAATCCAAGCTTGGGAGATGTTGCATGACAGGGGATGTTTGAGTAACACTGGCAAGTGGAAATGGAGAGGTTTGCTTTGGTGATGTGGCAAAGTGTTTGTGGCCAAAAAGTCACATGTTTTGGTGAGCAGGCAGCCCAGGTAGTCTTTATCAAGAGTAAACTCTATGGACGTCTTGGTTATCTGAAAGTAAATAAAAAATACCCACAAATGGGTGCTTTTACCTTTCCAAATAAATCTGTTTCTTCTTCTTTTGTTCCTAGATAACGTTAAATATTGGCACCTGTATCTAATGCATCACTAGGCTGTTAAAGGGGGAAATAGTAAGGAACGGAAGGGGTTATATCCCTAAAACTTTTTCCTCCTTTGCTGTTGTTCCATTGAGACCTCTGCTCATATTTCACACACCATTGCCTCCTCCTCTGACAGGCGAGACCTCTGGCCCGCCCCCCTAGAGGATTCCCTGCTGCTTGGTGATTAGAGAGCAGTAGAGATACTCAGCTATTGGGAGCATTACTTCACCTTAAGTAGTCACCAGAGCCTGAGAGAAGTGAGATCATACATGGAGGACCATAAACAGCAGCCAGGCACCAGAAGTTAGTACGGCAAAGTATTGTCCTACCCAAAAGCTTGGACCAGGTGTGTGTATCCACATGCTAACACAGTAGGAGGGGGGTGCGGGTGGGTGCCCCCTGTCTTCATTTCAGGAGCTTCGGTTGGAACATGAGGAAGTGCATCTCTGGGCTACGAGAGAAAGGAAGTCCTCAACACCCAATAAGTTTTAAATTATGAGTTAAGACGTATTAATGACTCCCCAGATGGGCAAAGTTTCCATTGGGACATGTGAGTCATCAACCTAGTAAGAGAGCCCAGAGCCCTGAGTGGGTGCCAGACTGGTTCCCAAGTCAATAGCCCTCTAGAATCAAACGATCTCTTCCAGGGGAAGACCGTCCCAGGACATGGGATGAACCACTTTAACAGGGTTGACACTGCAAAGAGACCAAGGCATGGCTGAACCATGAAGAGCTAGCTCAAGTATGATTCAGTCCTAGTGAGGATGAGGAAGGAGCAGAGAGACAGACCAAAGGCGCTCTAGTCTAGGCGTCTACCTGGTGCTGCACGTCACCACTGAGCCTTTGAATGTACACGTCCATGCTCTTCACTGAGGGT